TTTATGGTAGACAGTCAAGATGTTATGACTCCTTTACTGATGAGTTATGATGGAGTGCGGCTGCACCTGGGAGCAAAGTGTTGCTCCTTGGCTCCCCATAGGGAGTCTGTCATATTGTACAGTGGTCTAAGGATGGCTATAAATCACGTGTTTAGCATATGACAATCGGTAGTGAAGAAAGGTATAGTTATAACAATACATAACTTTTTTGGAAGGGGATAGACAACATAACTTTGGAATATCTAGTGTGGCAAGAAATGAATCATCAGGTATGTATATGTGTGCTTTAAGACGTTTGTAATTGACATGTAAAATTATGTAAATTAAGCAGAGTATAACAAAAGATACATAGAATAATATCAGCATACATGCTTCAGTAATTTGGAATAGATATCATGTTAATGGGTTACAGAGAGAGAGAGTAAGTGATGAGGTGAGCGAGCGAGCGAGCGAGCAAGTGAGAGAGAGATAGGGTGGGTAGGAGGGAGGGAGGGAGGGAGGGAGGAGGCACTACTTGTATATATTGTGTTGTGGTAGGGGGAGGAATAGGATCATGCACACAAGTATGTTGCTATGCATGTGTACAGGCTTGCTTTGTCTCTGTATTTTAAGTTTAAAAGAAAGAATAATAAAATAGAAACATCTCACTCTCCTTTTCCCTGCAGAGACTGCATATCTCAGCCCGGTGACTATGTGCTAACCTGTCGCTGCAGAGCATATAGCCATGACTATGTCTAACCCTGTCGATGGAATAGTACTACTCTGCATTTTGTCATTCAGAAAGTAAGTGAACTAGAATTTCTTTATCTTAAGCAGTTCTCTTGGAAACAGTTTTAAGGAATTTTCTAGAGTAAAATGTGAATTATAGATCCAAATTTGAGTCTCATGCTTTTTCCCCAATTGCAGACCATTGTTCAGCCAAATACTGTATATGAAAGGATCCAGTACCAGCTGGAGGACGATGCCTATGACACCATACCTGACCTGGTGAGAGCCTATGTGGGGAACAAGAGGCCCATCACCATCTCATCAGGTGCCAGAATCACCACACCCATTAATCGTACACAGCCCCTCAGTTTCTATGCTTCCAAGTATGCAGCTCAGACCGCCCACACTTTTGCTCATGGAACTCTCAGCAGGCCTATCAATAGGTCCTCTGAGCCCACACCGAGGTAAGTTATGTTGTGGTAAATGGAAGGAGGTGGAAGAGGGAAGATTATAGTGAATAGGAATAAGGTTAGGAGTTAGAAGAGGCATATTAAAAGATATGAGTGATAAGAGATGCTACACCAAGAAAGGGAAAGTCTAAGATTCATATGAATTTGATAGTAATTTTTCATTTAAAGTTAGGATAAATGTGATTTTACAAAATCAGTATCTTTGTTTTTAGGAGTGGAGGACTTCCTGGGAGCACGCTAAGGCACCAACATTCCTACAGTGGTCCTGTTGCTGTAGGGTGCACTGTGGTAAGAAGTCCTGCACATTCCCCTCCTAGGATGCGTCGCGACACAGCACCAATATTGCCGATGAAGACTAGGAGCAGTAGTACCTCCAGACCTCCTGACGACCCTCCTGAAGGTGGAACAGGTTAATACACTAAGATAATTTAATCGTGTATATGATTTTCACTTGAGATATTGCATTATGTTTGACTTAGTAAGGTAGATTCTAAAATTCAAATGATTTTCGTGATCTAAACAGAGAGAAGTGTCAGCAACGATGGAGTGATTGGTCCACGCCCCTCTGTTGTGCAAAGTAAATTTTCTTCAGTATCACTGCCAAGGAAGATGACAACGAAAGCCTTTACTGTAGCATCTGAACATCCATCCACAATTCTTGTAGATCCAGGTCAAGATGAAAATGTAATAACAGAGAAGAAAGAAGAACTAGCTCATCAGCCTCCACCAAAGCCTTCAAGAGTACCATCCTTTAAAGTTAAGCCAAAGAAACCACCACAGACAATAACAAATGAACGGATTTATGCAGAGATTGATGAGCGTGATGAGGATGAATCTAAGGATTTAAAGAAACACATTCCTGCTGATGACTTAGTAACACCAACTGAAACAGAAAGGGGGAAGACTGAGAGTACGACAACATTGACAGACACTGCATCAAATCCACGTTACTCACGTTTATCTGAAATGTACCAGCCCTCTGGCTCTGACTCAGGAAATGGCTCTGGTGACTCTGTACAGACCTCTGCCAGTGATGCCAGAAAGTAAGTATACAGAAGCTTCTTAAAAAAAGTAATTGAAGTGAAAGGGCTTTTGTCTATTTCTTTTAGCATTATTTGGAAATAAAAAATAACCCAAAGTCAAGGATTTTTAAAGAAATAGCTGATATTTTTGTTTATATGTCCTTTTTACAACATAATGAACCCACATACAAAGATAATTCCAGATTTTTTATTTATTATTATTATTATTATTATTATTATTATTATTTATTTTTTTTTTTTTGAGAAAATAAGCCAATGAAAGATTAATTCTGAAATACCTCTTGATCAAGGCCCTAGTTTTAGTTCTTGCAAATCACGTATAAGATTGGATTATTGAATTATAGATTCTGACCATGGATGATGGTAACATCCTGTCATAGATAGCATTCGATAGTCATAAATTGAGATCTTTTTACAGCCGTGATAGCCAAGCCTCCTTTGGTGACAGTGGAAGTGTACAGTTAGAGGAAGACTCAATGGTTGAAGAGGAACCAGTGCTCTACAGCTTGCCTGATGTGCTTCCAACTACAGCCTTCGATTTGGAAAATTTTAATACTCTTCTTTTAAACTCATTAGAAAACAAACCTTTGGATTCCACTGCACTTAAAGGCGTCAAGAACACTCTACTAGAAAGTGGCTCAAGGTAAGATACTTCAGAGATAGTTATGAAATTCTGAAAGAACTATTAATCCAATGTCTATGGGAAGATGGTGCATTCCCTTTGGCAATGCTTGTTTAAATGTTTCTGCACATAGATGGCTCTGCCAGTGCTTAGCCACAAAAGAGTCAATTAGTAGATCTTATGACCTCACTTTTCCTTGAAAGAGCGGAAAAACGCCATTTATTAATGCTATCAATATTGACACTGTTATTTTTGTAATAAACGTTATAATTACTATATTGATACTGACATTACTAACAGCAGTATGAAATACTTGAAAATATTATAAAAAATCAAGGAAAAGGGTAAACGGGGGAGAGGTAGTTCATGTAACTGGCTCATTGGTGAGTTAGTACTTGTGGAGCCATCTATATGTAAAAACAATTACTAAATTCAACACACACAATGGGGCATGGCATCTATGTACATGCCTTGCCCGGCGACAGGGGTTAACAAAAAAAAAAATACGATTATAATTTGAATGATCTTATCCATAATACAATCTTAGCGGCCCATCTTACTTGTACTGACCTGAAATAAAAAGACATTATTATTATGATTTACATATCCTCTCTACAACAGAATCTTAGCTGCCCATCGTACCTGTGCTGACCTAAAATAAAATAAAAAATTATTGTTATAACTTAATGATCTTATACACTACAGAATCTTAGCTGCCCATCTTACCTGTGCTAACCTAAAGAAAAAAAATATTATAATTGAATTATCTTATCCACAACAGAATCTTAGCTGCCCATCTAACCCGTGCTGACCTAGAACTCTTGAATGGAAAAGCTGAAAGTGACTTTGGTCTTGGTGTGACTTCAGGCATTGAGCTTGTCACTCTACCTCATGGAGCTCAGCTTCGGACTGATCTGATTGAAAGGTGAGCAGAACTGAAGCTTTTAATACTTAGCTTTTGTTTTTAGGTATATATATTCAGGTGTTTGCATCAGATCACATGCTTAATTTATCTATTTTGAGTAATTTTTTGCTAGTAAAAACTAGTAAATACTTCATTCACCATTTTCTCCTTTGTATCCCTATCCAAATTTGGCCATTAGAGGCTTTCTCACACTTTCCCATTATCATTTTGACCATCAACAGGACAGAGTGTCTGAAGCTCTTGGTTGCAGTGACCATTCTGATGGCAGGAGACCTTAATGAGCGGGCAGAGATTATCCACAGATGGATACAGGTAGCTGTTGATACAAAAACAGCAATGGGAAATTTGTATGGATTTACAGGCATCATGTTGGGTTTATGCATGCCAGAGGTAAGGAATCTAGTGTTTTACTTCTTTCTTAGCTCTTAATCCATACATTACAAGAAATGAATTTAGTTCAAGAGTTTTCAAGTATTTGTCACAATTTTTATGAAATGCTAAAGTTGTTTCAATTTTACAGATCCAAAGGCTTACAAACACTTGGCATACAGTGCGGCAGAAGTTTACAGACTCTGCTTTCAATTTTGAATCAAAGTTGCGCTCAACTCTAAAGGCCATGAATGAGTGCACAAATCCACAAGCTCCTAATACCACTATCCCTCACATACTGCCCTTTATGCTGCTCTGTGAACGAGACTTAGATGATATTTATGCAATGCATAAGCATGTAAGTGTTCCAAATTTTTGTATTGTGAAAAAGTATATCATATATGAGATTACTTTATTTAGCTTGCATAAAAAGTGAAGTGAATGCTTAGCAGGACATAGTACTGAATCAATTAATTTATTGCTATATTTTCCAGGGTTCTTCAATCCTTCAGTGGGAAAGCACAGCAGCAGACTATGGGATGCTAATGCTCTTCACACACCTTCAAGAAGCCAGAGCTATTACACAAAACTTGAGTCTGTATAAACGAAATTCAGAGCACATCTTGTCAGACTCCAACATCCTTGATGATCTCACTTTAGATATGTTCCGTTCAGAGTTTCACTTGAAGTTCCTATGGGGTAGCAAGGGTGCTACAGTTGAAAGCGAAGAACGACATGTAAAGTTTCAGAAGGTTGTCAGTACGTTGTCAGAGAGATGCGAGCCTTCCCCAGGTGCTTCGTGAATTGTTATGCTCAATTAAAGATATTCTTCCCAGTGCTATATGTAGCTGAAACAGTTTTAT